GTTCAAACCAGAGTCAGCCAAAGATGTATGGAGCTAATAATATGACAAAATGATTTGAATTTGAATTGTGTACATTTGAATTATTTGCAAGTGTAATCTAACAAAATTTAATTTTAGGTGGTAGTTTAAATAGTTCTGAATTTGATTTTTTTTTAAACGAATATTGAACATTTGAAATTTAACAAATTGAAAGGTTTTTATGGCTGAATTTAGACATGTATTTTCAAACAGCTGTTTTTTTTTGTTCTGAATTCAAATACTGCAAATATTCAGTTTTAAAAAATACAGATTCAAGTTTTCAAGATGAAGAAATTCGGAACTTCAAATTCAGTTTTCTAAAATTCAATCTCAAAAATTCAAACTCAAAAATTCAGGTCTTACAGAAAGTAGGTCATGATGATCTCAGAAAAGTCGAACAGAGCATTTTGGTCCATTGGGGGACTGCAGAAGGTTTCTTAAACATGAATGATTTTGTGTTTGTTAGGTAGCGTTCTCATCACGTGAGACATTTGTCTAAGCAGTCTCTGGTGTTTGTTTTAAAGTATATTTTGTGTAAAATTGATTAGAACGCCACCGTGTCACCTACACAGACAGGACGCGAGCGGCGCGGCGCGACGCAACACAGTGCTTGAAGCGACTGTTGCAAAGAGCTGAGACTATAGGTCACAAATAGGATGGGGAATCCGTGTGCTGTTGGGGATTTCACGGGTCGCGTCGCTCCGCTCGCGTCCGGTCTAGACTGCGTCGTACATGTAAGCATAACCCCTCATTTACACTGCACACATCTGCGGCGCATTACGGCTGCGACACGGCTACCGGAGCTGATCGCGCCCATAGTCAATGCGTGTGTTTACACCGGCCGCGAAGCGGCGCGTTTCAGAAGCTTCCCAGAAGCGGCTCTCCGCGCCGCTTCGCTAAATATAGGCGCCTAGTCTATTTTTGACGGACGCCGCGTTCAAGCCGCACCGTAAATACAAAATAAAAGTCAAAAAACACTGTCAATTTCATAATAAACACCCTGTGCAGAATCCCAATTGTATTGCACACCAATATATCCTTGGTAAAATCCACAGACTGTAGGTAGACACAAAAATCAAGAAAAACCACGCCGGACAGGCAAATCACGTGGTCTCGCGCATCCAGTCGCTTCGCGTCTGAAATGCTCCTGGTGTGAGTTGGCACTGTGTGAAGGACGGAATAAAACCGTGTCGCAGCCGTAATGCGCCGCAGACGTGTGCAGTGTAAATGAGGGGTTATGCTTACATGTACGACGCAGTCTAGACCGGACGCGAGCGGAGCGACGCGACCCGTGAAATCCCCAACAGCACACGGATTCCCCATCCTATTTGTGACCTATAGTCTCAGCTCTTTGCAACAGTCGCTTCAAGCACTGTGTTGCGTCGCGCCGCGCCGCTCGCGTCCTGTCTGTGTAGGTGACACGGTGGCGTTTCTAATCAATTTTACACAAAATATACTTTAAAACAAACACCAGAGACTGCTTAGACAAATGTCTCACGTGATGAGAACGCTACCTAACAAACACAAAATCATTCATGTTTAAGAAACCTTGTGCAGTCGCTAATGGACCAAAATGCTCTGTTCGACTTTTCTGAGATCATCATGACCTGTGACCTACTTTCTGTGAGACCTGAATTTTTGAGTTTGAACTTTTGAGATTGAATTTTACAAAACTGAATTTGAAGTTCCGAATTTCTTCATCTTGAAAACTTGAATCTGTATTTTTTAAAACTGAATATTTGCAGTATTTGAATTCAGAACAAAAAAACCAGCTGTTTGAAAATACATGTCTATAAAATTCAGCCATAAACACCTTTCAATTTGTTAAATTTCAAATGTTCAATATTCGTTTAAAAAAATCTAATTCAGAACTATTTAAACTACCACCTAAAATACGATTTTGTTAGAATACACTTGCAAATAATTCAAATTTACACAATTCAAATTCAAATCATTTTGTCATATTATTAGCTCCATAAAGATGGAGAGACTAAAGAAGAAGTGACAAATGTAGAATGCAACAGGACATCTCTGAGTGGTTAAATGATGAATTTATGTTACTTATGTGTAGTTATCTTAGCATATTCTGTCATGATAATCTATAAATACCGTTCCCGGGGGCGGGGTTTATGTAAATTCTAGGGTTAGTGATGTCACTAACCCAGGAGGAATGTCGTGTAGTTCCTACCAGCCGTTTGTTGTAGTCCTTAAAAAACGATTTCTTTAAAAGCAAAGGATTTCTTCCTTTGCTGTGAACTTTGAGCGTTGTAACTTTGCAGATGTTGTTTATGCTCAAACAGCAACATTACACACTAACTACAGTTAGAAAAGTGAAATCATAATCAACCACCACTTTAAAAACTCACGTGACTTTGCCTCAGAAGAGGCTGTGATTGGATAACTGGACTAACCAGTGGACCAATGCATGAATGCAATGATTTGGTTTAATTGCGTCTCACACGATTGCGTTCCCGAACACCAGCATGCTAACGCTAGAGAACACGACAGCGTATATTGCGTTTCGTCTGGCGCTCTGAAAGGAAAAAGAGTACGATTGGAGAAACGTACGTTTTTATTACTGATATTTTGCGTTGATTTCCCTGGAAGTGACAATTTTGTTCTCTTGAACACATTGGATGGAAACGCTGCTTTACTTGCAATTGTTTTATATGATAGTTCAGTTTTGCACATAAGTTTAATTCGCAGCTTTAGATAAAGATATAGCAACTGACCAAAATAAATAAACAACCTGCAATTGTGACCTTACAGAGATATTTCTACCTGATTTGACCCATCAAAATGAGTTTTGTTGGTATACATTTATGCATGTTGGTTAGTTCTGGGATGTTACATAATATTTTTGACTTGAATAAACCAGTTATTTAGATGTTACCATTTATTTTCAATTTAGGGAATCAAACCATTCTGTTTCCTTTAACAATTTCCTTCGCACTCTTAAAGAAGTAAAACTACTCAAATTAAATAAAAGTTGATAATACTTTGACTTAAATTTAAGTAAACACTAAACAAGAACAATACTACTTTTAGTAACGTTTAAATTATTTATTATTAAATAAAAAATTAAACAATAGAAAGATACCAGGGATAAAATACAAAAAGAATTGCACAGTTGTGATTTAAACTCTAATCTGATTCCTTATGATTATTACTTTTTAGCACTTTTGAGAAATAAATAAAAAGTTTTATTATTATAATTTTGAAATATATTTCGAAAACACTTAAAATAAAACAATACTATTTTAGAAGCATTTTAATTATTTATTTTTAAATAAAGTATATAAGGCTTGTGAGGAAATAACAGCGCTGTTCTTGAAGCAGATAAACTTACAGTTTCACTATCAGTCGAGACGCTGCGGCTGAACACTGAGATGCACAGACTCAGATAATTCACACACACACTTAATCTCTCTCTCTCTCTCTCTATCTCTAATAACTGGATTAATAACTGCATTAGATTGCTATCAATGTCTCAAATCTCCGTTACAAGCTCTAAAATGACGTTTTGGAATTAGCAACAGAGGCGTGGGATGAAATGCGTAAGAAATTAGTCCGACACACAAGCGTTTTAAAGGACAAAAACCTGACAAATGTCTTGTAATAAAACATCTGAACAATGTCTTAAAGTGTGGTAACCGTAGTATAAGCGGATTAATTGACTTTTTAGAAAATAAGGCACACCGCTGGCATCATTAGCACCTCGGGTGTGCCTTATTTTCTGATAATTCAATGGCCCGTTGTCAATCATTCCTTACTTAAAGTATTAAAGCTACACTGTGTAACTTTTTTAGTTTATTCTTAGCTAAAAACACTTAGTTCTTTCAAACACATATGTGCTCATTAATGTATATTTACTTCGTTCAAGTAATAAAGTTTTCTCGTGAGTGTATAATATGCCATTGAAAATACATACGGGTAAGGGGTTCTAATGTCGGTCGCCATGTTGCCCCTCCATCTCGAAAGTACATTAGCCAAAGAGGGACATACCCGTTAATTCAAGCTTCGCCTTTCGCGTTTTAACACTCGATGGCACCGTGTCGAATGTCATATAAATAACCTATATGTTACCTGACAAATTAAATTACTGCAAATTATAATAGTTTTCTAAAGTAACCTCATCACTTGAAGGAACACTCATGGACGAGGTCGAACTGGAAGCCATGTTAATCTTGGACTACATTGGCCACCGTAGGAGTTAAAACGAAATCGGAATTGAGAGGAACAGTTCTAATATTCACTGGATGGTCATATACCTTTTCACCGCTAGATGGGGGTAAAAATCTCACAGTGTAGCTTTAAGATAAATACAATAAAATAAAAAAATAATAAACAACATGAAGTTACTAGGAATTGCATTTTTCAGGATTTTAACATTTCTGACTAATTTCTGACCGATTCTTAATTAATTAAATAAATAAATAGAATAAAAAATATATTTTTTTGTGTATATTTATGACATTTAGTTTTCAGTAAATGCTTAGTTTTCACAGCAAAACTCTAAATGTGCATGTTTAACTAAACATTGTTATGAAATATAACTTTAACCTACTTAATCTTTTTTCCCAAAGAAAGTAGAGAATCCCAGGCTGATCTGTCGCTCATAACTCTTGTAATTTCAGCAGACCTTTCTGAGTGTATCATTTTGATTTGGGTTCTCATGTAATCCTCGGTGGAAGTTGTTTTGCCCTCCTCCTTCCCGCTGTGTTGATTGAAGAGAGCGAGAGAGTGTGTGTGTGTGTGTGTGTGTGTGTGTGTGTGTGTGTGTGTGTGTGAAATTGCGTTGGCCTTTAACTGGTTCCAGACTGTGCGTTCGCTGCTCAACCACATGTCGTGTTTCTGCTGAAGCCCCCGAGGGCCGCGGTTTATCACGCCGTCCGATGGGTAACAGAGTTGACATTCAGTACGCCGCTGGGTTGAGTGAGGCTAATAAAACTGGTTTTCCGTTCTCTCTCTCTCTTCCTCAGATGGACCAGGTTCAGAAAGCTGTTTTACATCACACGTTCAGCGCTTCGGCCTCGGCTAAAAGGAAAGCGGTCTCGTGTGGCGTGTGCCAGCTGAGGTTTAACTCACAGGTGAGTGTGTGTTCACCCTGACTCTGATATTCCCACCTAAAACTACAGATATCATCATCCAACACAGTCGAGATGATGCAATAAAGCCAGTACGGTAAAGCCAGGTAGTTTAATTGCTTTGATTGTGTGTTAGTTGTCTTATCACTTTCTGCATCTGTTTATGAGATTTAATGCAATAGTTTTCAGAAATTAAATTTCTGTGCTTATTTACTCACCTATATATTGTGACGAACCATTGGAAAACTTAAAAGTATTCACTCGATCAGAGCTGTTTTTCTAATTCAAATCATTTGATTCACAAACGCTGATTGATTTACATTCATGCATTTGGCAGACGCTTTTATCCAAAGCGAATTACATTGCGTTTCAAGGTACACATTTTACATTCTTATCAGTTCTTGCTTTCCCTGGGAATCAAACCCATGACCTTGGCGTTGCAAGCGCCAATGCTCTACTGTTTGAGCTACAGGAAAGCTTCAATTCAATTCAATTTGATTTGATTCTTCAGATTCCAGACGTACCAGATGTGGGCCGACACTATATTCCTGTCTAGGTTTTTGGTGTATTTCAGTTATAATGCTACCCTGGAAATCCAGAGTTCTCACAAGAGCACGATTTGGGTTTGCTCAGCGAGTCACTCTGGCATTGAGTAATGATGCTCATTAAGTATGCCCTTGAAGCCGAGCTGCACCAATCACACCGGTGTATCTGATATAGGCGGGCCAGAGGCGAGCTAACAGATGACGACAGCGCTGCGACGTCAAAGTCATTAGTAAACATTGCAAGATGGCTATGGATGAACACCAGTTGTTTAAACGGCTTTGGCTGCTACAATGAACGAGTTAAGGCCCTTGCACACTGAGTCCGAAATTTTCGTATGCATTTTTTCGCATTCTTGATTTGGTGGCTCTGAATTGTCAAAACACCATTCAAACGCCATTCAAACTGCTTGCTACGGATGCGAAAAATGCAGAAAATCGAACCCGATCCGATTTTTTTAATGACGGACGAAAGTTTCGGAGGCAGTGTGCAAGCGTGATTGACATAACGTGAGGTCGTATTTTTTTTTTTTACCTTAAAGGTCCGAAATTAACGTCCGAAATTTTCGCACGTTAAAATATAAATACGACTTGGCTTTTTATCTAAAAGAGGAACAGAAGACGGCGCTCGAATCGTTCCTTTGCAAGAAGGAAGTTTTTGCTGTTTTTAAGAGTCTAATCTACCAGTTATCTCCGCTGGTAGCGAAGCGTATGGGGCGTATTGTTGTGATTGGTCGTAGTGTTATCCAATTGCGTGCAGGGAGATTTTCAAATGCATGCTTGGTGCCGCCCCTCGAGCTGGGCGATTTTCATTACTCAATGCCAGACCCTTAATCTTTCGGATTTGGGTCTGGATTTCCAGGCTATCATAATGCACCCTTTGCTTTCAAGAAATACATTTTCTCTCTCTGCTGATGCTGTAAATGATACAGGACGGTGTTTCAGACCGATTCAAACACTAACCTTTCTCTGTCAAACTGGGTAATTTTTACTCCTTGCCAGCCCAACTCTCATGTGGAGTGCCGCAGGGGTCTATTCTAGCACCCATTCTTTTTTCCATATATTTACTTCCTCTGGGCTCCATTTTCAGAAAGCATGGTGTATCATTTCACTGCTATGCAGATGACACACAAATTTATTTGCCTCTGAAATGCAACAAAGATACTGCTCTGAAATCTCTTTTTGCATGCCTAGAAGAAGTAAAAATGTGGTTTTCTCAAAATTTCTTATTTTTGAATGAATCCAAAACCGAGGTTATAGTTTTTGGCCCCCATGACAACCATAATAGCAGTAACATTGATCTGGACTATCTTTATCCAACTTCATCTTGCATTAAGAATTTCGGTGTTGTCTGGGATCAGAACCTCAAATTTGAAAAAGAAATAAATGCGGTGATTAGTTCTTGTTTTTTCCAGCTACGTCTTCTCTCTAAGATCAAATCCTCTCTCTCTCTCTGAGAAAACCTTAGAGATTGCTGTCCATGCGCTCATTACATCGCGGTTGGATTATTGCAACTCTCTTTACTATGGCATACCCAAACACTCTATTGATCGTCTCCAATTAGTAAAGAATGCTAATGCAAATGTAAATTTGATCATGTTTCACCTATCTTAAAATCACTGCATTGGCTACCTGTGCATTTTAGAATCGAGTTTAAAATTCTTCTCTTTGTTTTTAAATCCGTAAATAATCTGGCACCGAGCTATTTGTCTGAGCTACTCTGTCCACACAATCCCACACGAAGCCTGAGGTCTGGTGATCAGAGACTTCTGTCTGTCCCCAGATCACGGTTAAAGAATAGAGGAGACAGAGCATTTGCGATTGCCGGCCCTAGGCTGTGGAACAGCCTTCCGGTTTATATCAGAGCGGCTCAATCTCTAACTGTTTTTAAATCCTCTCTTTAAACCCTTTTTTTTCTTTAGCTTTTAACTCATTGTGATATTTTGTCATGAATGTGTGGTTTGTCCTTGTAATTTATCTTGTCTATTGTTCAGCACTTTGGTCAGCCCTGTTTGCTGTTTTTAAATGTGCTATATAAATAAATACAAACTTGAAACTTAACCTGTCTTTCATTAGCCATAACCATTCATTAAACAAGCCGGTTCATAAAGATTCATTCATTTCAAGAATCAAACTTCATTGGTCGTGTTGTATGCGCTTGATTCGATGAAAAGAACCAGTGCAGTGCATAAGAGTCATTTGGTTTTGAATCAGACTACATTGGTCACGCTATCTGTTTTTGATTCACTATAAAGAAACTTTTTGTGAGAATCATGTTTTTTTTTGGGGGTTTTATTCACAGTAAAGAACCGGTTTTATAAGAATCGTTAGTTTGATGAATTGGGCTACACTGGTTGTGCATTGTTTTTAATGTATAATAAAGAATCAATTCAGAAGAGTCATTTGTTTTATGAATCAATATCTTTACCCTACTATACATACAAGGATTTAAAGTATTGATACACTGTGTGTAAAATAAGTAAAGAAGTCCTGCCCATATATGTGATCCATTTATACTGTGAGAAATGACTGTCCAGCCATCTATTATGCTGAGACTATAGACTTGCACTGACTATATTCATGCAAGGTGACTTTGAAATGGCCAAGAGGACAATTTTATTTTTCGTCCTTCATCCATCCCTTGTCATTTTCAATTCAGGAGAACGTTTGCCTGTGTGCCACGCTTTCATCAGAGGCATTTAATCCAAATATGATTATTTAAAAACAGCATTGCCCATATCCTCTCTATTAGGTGCTCATTTACGCCGTCACTGTCAGATATTAAGCTGTAATATCCGCAAGACTGAGGCCTATCAAAACAGTAATCACAGCTCATCATGGGCATCCGTCAGAACCGTGTGACAGGATGAAGGGGCGGGGCTTCGGTTGACCAATCACAGCTCCTGTAGCTCTCCAGTAGCCAATCACAGAGAGCGCCTGGGAGAGATTATGCATTCAAATCACGGCGAAACCTCATTATCATTGGTCGTTTGTGCTCCAGCTTCCAATCAGCTCCAATCTGAGCACGGGAAGCCTTTACATGGCACATTTTCAAAAAAATAAATGGCTTCTGGAGAGTTACAGAGTCCAGCCAGACGTTCTGGGTGACTTTTGAAAAATGACATTTGGTTTTCATATATCGCCACAGGTCTATTTGAATATGAGGCACTTGGTTATGGATTTTTCTGGGTGTATGAATTATAAATACAGTTTATAATGGCGGGGGAGAGAAAACCTAGTCAGTTGTTGAAGAGCTTTTGCTCGTTGCTGCCGAACACAGGCTGTGTCTGTAATGTCCTGTGGCCGTGATTGATTGATTGATTGATTGATTGATTGATTGATTGATGGCGTCCCAGTGCCGGCCTCAGTTAAAGGCTCGGCGTCACGGTGGCAGCTGTTTAATGCCCACCTTTTGTGTTTGTGTTTTTTAAATAATTGTTTCTAATTTATACTACGTATATTTCATTTTTATTATGTGTAATAATTTTACCATTTTATATTTATTTTATTTGTATGGTTTTTTTTTTTACTTGGTGGACCTTAGGATATGTCTGTTACTATATATTTTTTTACAATATTTATAATTTATTAAATCTTTTATTTATAGTTTATAATATATTTGTAAATATTTATTATGTATAATAATGCTACATATTTATATTCTATCTGTAGGCTATTTATTTATTATTTAATATTATTTATTTCATTTTTTCTAACTTGTTGTCTATTTTTTTATTAATATTTTTTTACAATTATTTATAATTTATAATATTAATATAAAATATTTATAGTTTGTAACTTTATTTATTTATAACTAACTAACTTAGTGTCTTTATTACTCACATGACCAAATTTTTTTTGTTCTTAACAATTAATTATAATTTATAATATTTATTTATGCACTTATTTATTTATAACTTACTGACATCTGTATATTTGTTACTCGTATGCCTATATTTTTTTATTTACAATTAATTGTAATTTATTATATATATATTTTTTATAACTATATATATATATATATATATATATATATATATATATATATTTTTTTTTTTTTTTTTTTTTTTTGCTTTAATTCATTTAAATTATTTGTTCATTTCTAACTGACTGGTGTCTTACTGGTTACCAGTGTTTGTTACTCACATGAATATGAGGCACTTGATTATGGATTCTTCTGGGTGTATGAATTATAAATACAGTTTATAATGGCTGGGGAGAGAAAACCTAGTCAGTTGTTGAAGAGCTTCTGCTCGTGGCTGCCGAACACAGGCTGTGTCTGTAATGTCCTGTGGCCGTGATTGATTGATGGCGTCCCAGTGCCGGTGCCGGTCTCAGTTAAAGGCTCGGGTGCAGGACGGGCTTTCTCCTCGCTCGGCGTTTGCTCTCGGCCCTCACTGTGACTCCTCTTCCGTGTCGTGCCTTTAATGAATGCTTGATTGCGGCACAGATTACACATGA